CTCTTTCGTCCTGATTGGTTCAATATTCACTAATCTCTCCTTTGAAGTAGGATCTATTGTAAGTTGAGCAAAGTTAAAGGTTATCACTTTAATTAATCTATCATGCCTCCATTTTTTTCCTAGGGATGAATAATTGGATAACAAATTATCAATCTATGTTGCCATGGTAGTGTGATATGTCGCTTTCTTCTTCATTGTCTATTAACTTTGTTCGAGATAGAGATGGTGGTTTTCTTGTACGCACTATTAGTAACCACCTAAAACTCAAGCTATGATACTAATTGATGTATGATATTAGTAATCTTAAATATTTTGCACGAGTCACTTAGGCTCTCACTTTCTTTTCTGTGACAATAAATTATTTTCATTCTTAGCTTTTGGCTCTTTATCTAGCTTCTCCAGATATTATTATCTAAAATTTCAAGATATGCATTTTTTATTGACTTAAATGTTTTTAGGACCGTGTTACACCAGTGCCTAGTTTAAGGGCAGTTGTCTCTTATTAGCCTAAGGGCAATTTAGTCTATTAATATTCATGATTGTTTGGTATAAATAGGGTTTAGGAGAGATTGCCTACCTCTCGAATTATAGGAATCGGGAGGGATCGCCTGCCCTCGAATTGTAGGTGTTTTTTTTTTTATTTGTCTTGAGTGTTTGATGTTATAGAAATAAAATGTGTGCCCTAATTTTTGTGGGAAAATTTTTCTCGAATCCTTTCAAATTTGTATCAGGGATAAAAAGATTCTGGAAATCAGATCGACGGGAGTTGAAGCAATTGCAATTGCGGATTGCAGCTACAGAAGGGTTGCACAGAGCGTACAAGGATTCCATAATCGCAACACCTAGAGTTTCACATGGCGTGCAGAAGCTACTTGCCGAAACACGTGTGGAGTTCGTCGTGATCAACATGAGGAATTGGAGTGGATTGAATGGCAACAAAAAAGCTAGATACTTTGGAGGAAAAAAAAAACTAGCGGAAGAGGTCAATCAAATGAGATCTCGAATAGAGGAGCGTTTCTCAATCATGGAGGGGAGGTTCACAACCCTATAAAAAATATTAAAGAAGATTGTGAAGTTCCACACAAACTCTCCACCACCTACGGCTGGATCAAGTGATGGCTTATGTTTGGATGTGAATGACAATAATCAGAAGATTTGTGCGATAATAGAGCAATATTGTTTTCTTAGGTGGATTTGGAGTTGTGAGATCAGGTGAAGGAATGGGAAGCGGACTCGAGCGTCGGGACTTAGAAGGATTGGAATGACATCGAGGTTGGAACTAGAGGCAACAAACAGAATGGGATGGCGGGTGATTCAAGGGAGAAGAAAATCAATTCGAAGGATTTTGATCTGAAACATGGAACAGTGATGGGTGGGACCTCGACATCGGGTTGCAACAAACCGCTCCAGTGCCTTTTATTGTAGCAAACTTTTGGGCAAAAAACAATTTTGAAGCTTTTAGGGATGGGCGAGCTGATTATGGGGTGCATCAGACTTGTGGAAGAAGAAAAATTAATATGGGTCGAGGAAGGGAACCCAACCCCCAATTTATGGGTGAATGAACTTCGGTCTGAGAAATTATGGAGCAGACTCACGCATAAGAAAGCTGAAGATGTCAACCTTTGAATGAGAGGATGCTTATGGTTAGGTTTATTGTGTGGAGTGATACTTTGTTGTTAATGAGCTGGCAAAGGAAGAAACATTTATGGCGACAACTCTATATTTGGGAAGAAAGACTCTGGCATGATATCAATGGAGAGGACAATGCCAGCCAATCCGAACATGAAAAAAATTCAAGGTCTGATTGTTGGAGTCCTTCAAACCCATACAAGACGGGGATTTACACGAGCAATTTTTTGTGTTGGTCCAGAAAGGACCCGTTATAACGTATAGTGAGAAATTTGAGACATTATTAGGCCGGTTGTGAGGGATTTCATAAGAAGTATTGGAAGGCAACTTCATGAAAGGGTTGAAGCAAGTGATTCAAGCATCACTTTGCCCACCGAGAGTGGGAGGATTGAAGAAACTAGGGAATTACTGCAGTTGGTTGATGATAAAAATGCAATAAAACTTGCTATTAAGAGCGGCACAAGTTCAACTCCGTACCGAATTACTACAACCATAACGATTCCAAAAGTTTAAACAATAGAAGTTCAGAGGGAAACTTTATAAGAAAGAAATAACGGTCCGCTGCTGGCGGCGACGCTAAAACGCCTTACAAAGTTAGAGATTTGGGAGAAGTGGATCAAGTGGTTATGCTTTCACTTTGATGAGAAGTTTTCCCCAGGACATTGTTGCAAAGATCGAACATTATATATTCTGAAATTGTGTGGCGAGATGGCAGGGGATGCGAACATAAAGAAGAATGCGATAGAAGCGGAGGAACACCCTCACTTAGGTGTGGCAGAAGTCTTATTAAACTCGATGGTGCCGAAACACACTATGAAACTTTAGGGGCAGATCAAGCAACATAATATAGTTGTGTTGATAGATAGTGGGGACACTCACAACTTCATTTCTACTCAGATAGCAAAACAATTGGGGCTTGAGAGGGTGGACGTAGGAAATTTTGAGTCATGATGGGGACGGGACTAGTGAAGAAGAGCAAGAGAGTTTGTAAAAGAGTGATTTTAATATTACCAGACACTTTGTTGATGGAAGATTTGCTTCCCTTGGATTTAGAGAGCAATGACTGCAACATCCTGGTGTCAGCAGATCCATCGAAGGTCACAGATAGGTTGGAGGGGCCACTACCTAAGAACTAGAAGTGCTTGAGAAGGTTTATGGTACTTATAGGATGCTATTGAAAGTTCGTGAAGAGTTATAATTCGATTGTGTGGTTGTGGACGAAGAAATTGAAGAATAACTTTCAGCAGGGGAAAGTGACGACCCAAACTTTTGAGAAGTTGAAGAAGGCCATGACAAGAGTGCCAATGTGGCGGCGAGAATTAAAATCGAGCTAGTTTACGAGCGGGAGCTTGATGCAGCTGTAGTTTTTCCTACCTTTAGGATAAGGTGTCTTTTTTGGAGGGAAGTATTGTTATGCTAGTGTGTAGCCTAAGGGCAATTCAGTTTTTTATTATTTATGATTCTTTGATATAAATAATGCTTAATAGTTTAGGGTTAGGGTTATGCATGAAAGTGGTTCTTATCTTAGAGTTAGGGTTTGAGATAAACTTCATCTCTTGAATTGTAGGAACTGGGAGAGGGAGAGATCGCCTACCTCTCGAGTTGTAAGTGTTTATTTGTATTGAGTGTTTGATGTTATTGTAATAAACCAAGTTTTTGGCCTAATTTATCTGGGAAAGTCTGTCTTGAATTCTATCAGATGGATTTACTACTCAAGTTGTGTTATATGCTCCCTCTTATTATAGCATCATTATCATGGTGGGCTGGGTTGGGTTCAATTGAAGTGGGGTGAGGTGGTGGAGTTACCAGGAGCTTGATTGGGAGAGTTTTGGTTCGAGAATGGGGAAGATGAATCATTCTAGGTGGATACTTTAAAATGACTTTCAGGTGAGGAAGATCAAATGAAGATTGATGGCGAGTATGCTCTCTTCCATCTTTACTCTCATTACTCCCCCCTTTACAGGAAAAACACTTTCATCAAATTCGATTATATATAAGATCACTTTAATCATAGAAGGCCTCCAGGAATCTTCAACCTGATCATAAAATCTTAGCTTATAGATTGCTAGCCAGTAGAGATTACAGAAGTAATTCTGCTAGTTAACTATTTTTATGGTCACTTTGATTTGTCTTACTAGCAGCCGTGAATGACTTGATTGATCACTAATTAGAAATTTTAATCTAGCTGAACAGAGCTAGTAGTTGTTTCAGGCCATAGTCCTTCCCTTTTGGTGCACCTATGCCATTGATTTGGCTTCCCTTGTTGTCTTTTCATCGAGCAGATTGTCTTCCCAATCACCCTCTGATCACAAAAGAAGCCAATATTAGAACATGAAGCCAACCATGTTTATTGCATTTTATTGTTTTCTCTCCAAGCTGACATTGTTGTCACCTTTTTATATCACACTTTGACATTTAATCAATCATTCAAGGTATGGGTTAGTGCATTGTCAGCTTCATAGTTCACTCTCTAACTTAGTGTGCACATGCTCCATTTGCTTTGTCATCGAAAACATTTTTTTTTGCATGTAATTCATTTCTATCCATGTGGTCAATCGAGGGTTGGACGGGAGGTGTGAGGGTTGATTGCTTTCTATTCTATTTAAATAAATATCAAGGCCTGATCAGATAGACTATTAGTAAGTAGCGTGCCTTCAATTTTCATTTTTATTTTGGGGCATTTACATATGCAGAGCACACAACTCTTATTTATCTATATATCTAGCACCTAAACTTTCATATTTGCACACATAACAATCAAATTTTTAATAGCACATAAAAATAGCACTATTACCACTTTTTAAAAGTGAAATACATCTTTTCATGCATAGGTTTAAAGCACCAAGTGCTATGTATGTAAATATGAAAGTTTCACTCTGAATTATGTAAATACATAAGAATTGTGTGTTTTGTATGTAAATTGCCCTTTTATGTTTGACAAATTTCATAAATACTTTGACTGAATATGGATAGTGTAACTTCAAATGTCATTCTAAACTGTAATCATGATGATCACTGGATTCCTGTGTTAATTCTATTTAACGACTAAAATTAATTTTTACATACATAACATTTCACCCTTATCTGAAAAGGTGTATTTCACTTTTTAAAAGTTAAATTGGTGGTACTTTTTATGCGGTATTAACGATTTGGGTGGTATAAATTAAAAGTAGAAAAGTTAGGTTTTATATATCTAAATAGGAATCAGGTGTTTTGTATGAAAATGTCCCTTGTTTTTTCTTTGATTGATTCTGGGCCTTGATGGGATGCAGATGCTTACGCATCTGAAGCATATTTTATGCTTTGCTGCAGAAATATGGCATTTAAAGTGTTTTTAATTCTGACATAATTCTCCATGCTTGCTTATGCAGAATTAGAGTCTACAGTAGCTACGCTGCGACGAATATTAGTCAGGATTCCATTTCGGCACCCATTGATGTTGTAGCTGATGTTAAAACTGAGAGGGTTTGGTCTTCTGTTCTATGCTTTAAAATTATACCTCATTTATTTCCTGTGGCAACTAAGTCTACTGATACATTTTGAATAGATTGTTGTACTTGGAGGCACCGGATTTGTTGGTACGGCAATTTGCAAGGCTGCAGTATCAAAGGGCATTGAAGTGGTCAGCGTAAGCAGGTACTTGTGTTGGCTTTGATTCTACAAAAATATTAAAATTGTCCCCTTCTTATTTAAATGGTTCATTTTAATCCTAAAATCTATAAAAGTGTCAAATTAGTTATCATACTCTTTTAATATAGGTAGAAATAGTTTTTAGGGAGAACTATTTCAGCCACCTTTAAAAGTGTTGGGGACTAAAGTGACATTTTTGTAAACTCTGAGACTATGATGATCCTTGACGAAAAGTCAGGGGACCATGTTGACACTTTTCTTAATTGTGCTATTATGCGGTGTATGAAGTATTTTATGAATTTGATTATGGGTGTATTGTCATTCATAATGCATGCCCCCTTAACTTTGCAGTATTATTTCATATGTACTGAATTTATGCTGCAATCATAGTAAAGAATTTAAGACATGCAAATCAAAGTTTTGTATCGTTAGATTTGTTTACATATGGCTCTCGAATATCAAAGAACTTAAGACACATGGATGGAGGCTCTATACGATTTGATCGTCTCTCTATAACCCTCGATTGTAATACGTGTGCTTTCCTAAAGGATCGGCAACCCCTATTATTTTTCCCTCATTTTTTGGTTTTATTCCTATTTTGTAATGCTTATGTGAGATGTATATATATCTCCCTTTTTGTACAAAAAAAAAATGAACACTCTTGAAAGTTTTTTGCATTATTTTATTTTCTATATGGTATTAGAGCAAGGGTAAGTTGTTCTTTCCAACATTTCCTCTTATTCTCTAGAGCCAGGATTTCCACTATCGACTTTTTTTTATTATTCTTTAAGAATAGGGTTTTGACTTCCAACATTTATTTTTATTCTCTAAGGTTAGGGTTTTCACTTCCAATCTACCTTTATTTTTATTCTCTAAGATTAAGGTTTTCACTTCGAACCTTATCCCTCATGCCAAATTCTGCTTTTATTCACTACGTCAGGGTTCGACTTCGCTTTAAAAGAATCGGCTTTGACTAATGTGAAAATCAGACCAAAAGAGAATTCAAGATATATCAAGTATGTTATTGCTTGGACAAAAAAAAAATAGCTTAAATAATCCCAAATTATGAAGATATTTCTAAAGAGAAAGGAAAAAATCTAACTCATTGTGAAAATACCTTCTGAGACCAAAGAGCCAAAATTATTATTTTGGGAACAATTGATTCCATGATCATGTCATGGTTGTGAAACATTATGCCATTGGAAATAAATGGGTCTTCTATATGTTTCTCCCAACAAAAATATGTTATGGATGTTCTATAAGAGACCAAGATGACAGAATGCATGCAATGTGAAACTCCAACTGAACTAAGACAAAAATTAGACCTCGATGAAAGAGCTGATGTGGATACGAGACAATATCAAATGAAATCGACAGGCCGACGTATTCGCTAAAGGATTCTGAAGCCCAGCAATTAAAATTATTATAAGCAAATTTGGAATGATAGATTTCTACTATCCAGTTTGAGAGGGAGTGTTGAATTATTACTTCAATCATAACAATAAACTCAAGGCATACGACTGAAGACTTTGTACCATTAGATCTGTTTACTTATGACTATTAGATAGAATAGAACTTAAGATATACAAATTGGGTCTCTATACCATTAGATTTGTCTTTTTATAATCTTAAAATCACAATCCATGTACTTTCCTAAAGGATCATTGTCCCCTATTATTTTACCTTCAATTTTTTTGTTTTATTTTTATTTTGTAATGCCTATGGAAAATGTATATATCTCCCTTTTTGTACAATGAGAAGTGAAGACTATTGAGAGTTTTTTTCAACTATTTATTTTCAACAATACGCCCTTATTGTTGCATAGGTTCCTTTACTAAAAGCTGGACTGGTTGCAGGTCAGGTAGGCCTTCTTATTCTGATCCATGGGTTGATCAGGTCACATGGACGCCAGGTATGCTCGTTTACTTGCTTGGGCCTCTTGCTATTTTAAAGTTTTATGATTATTTTTTCTTAGCATTTTGTTTAATTTGCTGTTGCACTTGGCTTTGTTTGTACAGTACTCAATTTCAGTGCATGGTTAAGAACCTCAGTTTTTGTAATTTGAGCATATTCTCACATCATGTGGGGTCCTTGCTTCAAGGGTTATTAGGACGGGCACTCTGTTTTTAATGGGTTGCAATATCTTTCGAAATTGGAATTCAAATAAAATTTCTACCACCCTTGTGTTTCAACCTTCCCACTTAAAAACATATTTTCTCATATATTTAAGTCCCATTCCTTGTAGAGAGCTTGAAACCTATCTTCTCACATTAGTCTTGCACTAATTTGAATTATATTCATGCAGGAGATGTCTTCTATCTACGTTGGGATGAAGTTTTGGTTGGAACAACTGCAGTTGTTTCTACTCTTGGGGGATTTGGAAATGAGGAGCAAATGAAGAAGATTAACGGGGAAGCAAACATCTTGGCTGTAGGTGCCGCCAAGGATTATGGTAAATTTTATAATGGTTTCATCCTCTAAGGAAAATTTCATCATCTTCTGCAACTTAGACGTCAAACCTTACTTATTTCTTTGTCTGAGTTACTCTTTTCTTTTTCTGAGTTAAATTTCTTTTCAATGAAGGTGTTCCGAAGTTCGTGCTGATCTCTGTTCATGATTATAAACTTCCTTCTTTCTTACTCTCTTCTGGGTACTTCACTGGAAAGCGAAAGGCAGAATCAGAGGTCCTATCAAAGTATCCAAACTCAGGTTATTACAGCTGAAATTTACCTTTAGTACATTTGCATGATCATTTGAAAGAGAAAAGTGTTAAAATGATCCCCCAGGGGTGTGCATCATTTGGTCAAAACCAAAAAAATGAACCAAACCAAATAGATTTAGTTGATTTGGTTGTGCATTTCGGTTTTGGTTTTTAAAACTTTAATATTCGATTTATTATTATTAGTTTGATTTTGATTTTAATTTTCATTTAACTAAACAAACCTAAAAACTAGAATTTAATTAAAATTTATTATTCTATTTTAATTTCATATCAAATAAACCAATATATATATATAT